CAATAATGAATAAAATGTGTTTAAATGACAACATGATTTTACTGTTAAACATTTTATGTTTGATTTTGTCAATGTCAAATTTCTATGGGAAATAACTTTGTTTGTTGGCATAAAATTGAGAACAACTGTTGTTAATGATGCAAGTTGCAATACAATTTCGATTAAATCATTAATTTCATTAAATTGTACGAATTTACTAGCATCGATATTCAAATACTGTAATTGCTTTTGTTGTCGATGATAATTTAAAATCGGTGTTATTTGTTTTATATTCATGTTATTAAGTGTTAACGATCTAAGACATGTAAACGATTTATGCATTTGTTTTTCCAATAATCTTTGTGATGTAAATAAATTATTAACTTTTAACAAACTAATTTGATGCGGATTAATTTCATGTCGAAGAAATACCAAAAAATCGTTTTTGATATCTTCGGGTGTAAGATTAATGTATAATGGTAATGTAGAATTTGTTATTATTTGATTCAGATTTTGATTGATATTCCAGAATGCATAAAATAAGTCTTGTAGATAAAAATATTCAAACAAATCGTAAATAAGATCTATTGGTAAATCCAAAAATGTTGTTGTTGTTGTATCTAAGAGGACGGAAAATTCATGATACGAATATTTCACTAACGACTCTTTTACGATATTTTCAGAATAGAAATTTAGACATTTTTCAGCCTAGGCAGACTTACATAGCTGTTTGTGAATGTTTGAAGAGAGGATGAGCATTATGAAACTAGTAAGAGTACTCCAAAGCGAACTGAAATGAAACACACGATAACAAGCAAGTTGGCAAATAAGTACCGTACTGTGTTTTGTAAGTGTCGAAGAACTTGAAAGTTTTTCTTAACGCGCCCATAATTCAAAGATCAAGAGGGTCTATATTTTCTGCTTATATATACGCAGAATTCTAGCCTGATTAGGAGCATCATAGTTAAAAAATTCTTAGTCCGCGTTTTCCAGGAGAAAAATTAAGAGCGTGATTTTCCGAAATGTTGACCTCTTCCCAGAAAAACTACAGTATCTCCGCTCTGAACCACTTTGAAAAGTCAGCGATATGATATTCGGGATCAGCGTGAAAAACTGGTTCTAGACCAGTAGCTTTTTAAATTTCGACTCAAAATCTGGAACTTAGGCGCGCATCTGAAGAGGGAATTTCAAAACAGGAAGAGGGGCACTTTGCAAACCTATTTAATTTTTTTGTGTAAAGCGAAAAAGCCTTGATTCTTACGCCATTCGAACCGCCTTGAGACGCACTACAAAAGTATGCTTCGCTTTTTTCAAAACGTTTTTCCTTTTAGGAGAAGATAGGAAAAGACTGAAAAAGTGCGAATGTTTTCAAAAATCCTTCAGATGATGAGACCATAACTCAGTGATATTTCCACCTAGAGAACTGCTATTATAGTTTTCTAGGTAAAAAGCGATGCTAAATACGTTAGAAATGTGTTTGATAGGTTTGAAGTTTTCTAAGTAGGTTTTGCCAATAACCAGAACTCTGAGAAACCTTCAAGAGCCTTTTGGAAATCTTTTCCGCCCCAAGCGCGTCGTATCAATAGAGTATCAAATTTTGAGCAAAATGGGACGCCCTCGAGTCTTCTAGCATATTTCTAGACTGAGATAAGGCCATTTTACTTCCAGTGATCCGACTGACTCGAAATCCTTAAGAGATTTACCAATAACTCAGGCTAGAAAGCCCGAAAAGGTCTCATTTTGCTCCGAACTCGATGCGCATTCAGACGCCTCACGAAGGGTCGCAGAGTAATGACGAGATGTATTGAAAAACCGATTCTCTGGAAATCTCTCCGAACCCTTCGGAATCCTCATTATCTCCGCCAGGTATCGCTTCTGAATGCGCATCGAGTTCTGAGCAAAACGAGACCTGTCCGGGCTTTCCGGTGTCTGTCTAGGCTGATCCATAGAAAGAAAAACATTTTTTCAAAGTCCACAAGGTAGTTTCTAACACGAAGGGGGAGGGAGCTAGTGGCAGGTGGGGAGTGGAAAATACTGTCTTATTTCGATTTGATGAAGAATTTCCAAAGTTCAT